GTTTTTCTTCCCATTTGCCGAGGTAGAAACTGAGACAGGGACACAGCGAAGGCCAGAGCTGGTTTCCTGGAACATCTTCTGTGTTCCCAGGCAGCCCTTGGCTCTAGCAGAGAGGGACACTGAGCTCAGGGAGAGACAGGGCTCACAGGCAAGCCTGGGGCAGGACAGAGTTCTCCACATCCTCCTCCGAGATCTAGACCACTCCTCTCCCACCCAGGTGCCTGCCTTCCTGGCGTGGACGCAGGGTGAAAGATGAAGGCAGCAGACCCAGAAGAGCACCATCACTCAGGTAAGGCTCAATTACCGGCTTCCAGCCTCGTGCTGTGGGCGCCGGGGACATAGACGAGGAGGCTTATCCACTGTGCCGCACTGGCCCCCGCCCAGGTCAATGGCCACAGTGGGCAAGTGTGTGTGTGTGTGTGTGTGTGTGCTCCTGTGTGTGTCCACGTGTGTGAGCCTGAGCCTGTGTGAATATGTGTGTGTGCCTGCGGGTATGCGTTCTTGAGCAAGTGAGCCAGTGGGAGTGTATGACCACAGATGAGTGTGTTTAAGTGTGTATAAGTGTATGTGGCTGGATGCGTGTCTGTGTGTGAGAGCAGGCATAGGCATGTGGGGGTGGCCATACCTGAGTGTGTGTGACTCTGGTAGGTATGTCTGGAAGTGTGTGATTGTGTGAGTGAGTGTATGACTGTGTATTGTCTTGTGAGAGAGAGAGACTGTGTGTGAGTGGATACATGTGAGTGTGTGTGACAGGGAGTGTCTGTGTGAGTGTGGTGACCATAGCAATTGCACAACCTCTACAGGAGAGCCGGGTACCCACGGGCCGAGCCCCACCCAGCACCCCTCACTTCCCGTTCACTTATCTGCTGTCCCTCTGTTTCCTCGCCTTATCTCCAGGCCCTGCTGAGGTTTCTTGATGTGAAAATAATTAACCGCAGGCTCCTTTTCCAAAGCTTCCATTCAGTTCTCCGGCCAAGAGAACAGAGCTGACAAAGGGGCAGGCGGGAGGAGCTGCTCCCTGGGGGAGGGCAGCATGAGGCCAAGGTCCAGAGAGGGGAGGTGCGGGTGGGTGGGTGGCAGGTCCCTCGAGCAAGGGAGGGACGGGCTCTGACCTCACCACGGGCCACCTCACTGTGCGCTGAGACAAGTGTCTTGCCCTCTCTGCGCCCTGCTTCCTCCTCTGTGCATTGAGGAATCTGCGCGCCAGCTGACAGCCAAAACAAAAACAAAAGCGCCTCTGTGCTCCACGAGGCCAGGGAATGGCGGTGTCTTGATCGCAGGACTTCTTAGAGCCTCTGCCCGTGGAACACGCTTACTTCTTTTTTCTTTCTTAGTTTCCCCACTCATTACCACTTTACATTAGTATGAGACATTTGTCACACTTAATGAACCAACTTTTCTTTGGTGGGGAGGGGGTGTCAGTCCTCCTGCAGCTGCTTCAGCAGGTCTGGAAGGGGTTTTGGGGGGCCTCCGGCCTGTGCACGACGTGCCCTCTGCTCCTCACCTCCATCGGGCAGACGCTGTGGGCAGTTTCTAATGCTCGGCAGGATGGAATCGCTCGCCGGCACATAGGAACACCCACAGCCCTCATCAGAGTAAGCAATCACGAGTTTCTCAAGGGGGGGTGGAGATGCATCATTTCCCAAGCTGGCTTGATTTGGACCTCGAACCCCTCCCCCCACCCCCCCACTCCTGCATCTCTGAGGTCAGCAATCCAGAGGGACCCTCTTTGGGGAAATGTCAGGTTCCTGATCCCCAAGTTCCCCGCGGGGGCTTTCTTTATAGAGACGAGTGAGCCATGGAAGCCTGGGAGCAGAGACTCTCCCTTCCGAGCAGGTAGGCATGACCTCTGCCCTGTGCTGCCCAGTCAGGGGCTGAGTAAGACTCCCTAGGGCCCCCAGGGTGGCAGCAGCCCGGCAGGGATTACGACTCTCTGCTCCCGGCAGGACCCCCCCACAGCCGTGGGGAGGGGTTCCTGAAGCTAGGGGAGCTCTCGCACGCACTGGATGGTCATTTCCTGGGGGAAAGAGCAGGTGGAATCGGACGTCCAGTGCAGGGGGTGAGGCCCTGGTGTGTGTGTGTGTGTGTGTGTGTG